GTATATTTCATAGCGCTAAGTAAATTTTGCATACTGTATTTCTCTGGAAGTATTCATGGTATAGTACTGGACTTGGTAGGGATATATGTACATGAAATCAATCGATTCGCGATTGGAAAAGGGGGCGTAGCACCTCCTATACGTAATTAATCGCTTACTCATAAAAATATTGATATTATTAGAAGAGGGGCGTGGCACCTCTCATACAAATTGAGTTTTTCATACTGCATATTTTTTGATGTGTTCATTATAGTCAAGTAGTCTACTCTACTCAAATAAACCGAATTTTTCATACTGCAAATTTTGGGAAGTGTTCATGGTTGAGTACATGAACATATAATAGTATAGAGATATACGAAATCAATCGCATGCTCTTAGAAAAATTTTTGGGATATTGAGGAGGGGGACCGGCGTCTTCCAAACGTTTCACAAATGCAAGTACACCTTTATCCTTGTTGACTGTCACATTAATATGAAGATTAAAATTAAGCTTAGGATCCATTGTGATACCAAGGTCCACAAAATTGTATACCTGTTCCAGGTTATGGTTACCTACTGTATAAGAAGCGGGATGAACAGCTCTTCGCGAGAAGCTCATTACTTTACATTTCTTAAGATTTAGAGGCATAAGATTTACTTGACACCAGTAAGCCATGCTGTCTAAGTCTGACTGTAGCAAAGACCTTTCTTTAATTTATAAAGCTTTACATCATCTGCATACATTAAAATTTTGGAAAATTGTATATCTGTAAAAATATCGTTTATAAAAAGCAAGAACAGAACCGGGCCTAGGTGGCTACCTTGAGGGACTCCTGAAGTAACATCAATGACGTCAGAGATAGTATTTTTAAACATTACCCTTTGTGATCTATCTTAGTGGTATGAAGAGATCCAACGTAGAAAATTAGGTGGAAGACCAAGAAAATCAAGTTTGTAGATGAGCAACGGGTGGCACACTTTGTCAAATGCTTCACTGAAGTCAGTATATATAACATCAACAGATTTGCTTTCACTAAATGCTTTTGAGATATAGGATGTTAATTCAAGTAAATTTGTAGAATACTTCGTGTGTTTCTGAGTGAATCGAGGACTAACGAAATATTTTGTGTGTGCTTGAGTAAGGTCTCTGGATAGTTCAGATTCCCAGTTTAACCT